TCAGACAACTTGATCTGAAGTAATAGTAAAGAATGGAATTATCACACACAGATAAATATGTTGGGGAAGAATCACAGCTTCAGTAAAGGATAATCATTCCTCAACAGTCTATTATAAGTGTTTGAGTGGGAGGACAATAAAAATGTGGACAGGGTGATACAATCAAAGTAGTGTACTTGGACTTCCAAATGGCCTTTGACAAATTCCTTCACCAAAGACTCTTAGGCATACTAAGCAGTCAAGGGATAATACAGAAGGTTTTCTCATGTATCAGCAACTGGTTAAATGCTAGGAAACGAAGCATACAAATAGACTGTCAAATTTCACAGTGGAAAGAGTTAGATATAAGGGTTCCCCAAGAATCAGTGCTGTTTAACATTCATAAATTATCTGGAAAAGGGAGTGAACAATAAGATGACAACATTTGCTGATAATACGCTACTCGAGATAGTTAAATCCAAAGTTGACATCAAAGAGTTACAAAGGGATCTCACTAAACAGGGTGACTGGGCAATGGAATGGCAGATGAAATTTAATATTGATAAATTCAAACTAATGCTCATTGGCAAATCTAATCCCACCAATACAGAGAAAATGAAGTCCAAAATAGTTGTTGCCACTTAAGAAAGAACTTAGAATTATTATGGATAGTTATCTGAAACATTCACTCAATGCATAGCAGCTGTCAAAAAAGCTACAAATGTTAGAAATCAATAGGAAGGGAATAGATAATGCCACTTCTATACCACTTATAAACTCATGGTACACCTATACCTGGAATACTGTGTACATTCCTGGTGATCCCTACTTAAAAAAGATTAGAAGTGGAAAAGGTACAGAGAAGGCCAACAAAATTACTAAGGGTATGATATAGCTTCCATAGGAGCAGAGATTAAAGAAACTAGGACTGGTCATCTTCAAAAAGAGACAACAAAGGAAAAATTATAGAAATCTATAAATTCAATTTTGTGGAGCAAATGGAAGTGTTGTTTACCTCTTTACATAACAAGAACTAGAGGTTATCTGATGAAATTAACAGGCATCAGATTTAAAACATACATGAGGGAATGCTTCTTCTCAAAATGTACAGTCAATCTATGAAACGTATTGACCAGGGATGTTGGGTAGAATATAAGTGACTGAAAAAAAGAATTAGATACATTCCTAAAGGATGGGTCCATCAGTGGCTATCAGCCAAAATGTACTTGGATACAACTACATGGTCTTGGTGCTTCTATACATCTGACTGCCTGAAGCTGGGGCTGAACAGTGAGTGGATCACTCAAAATTATCCTGGCCTGTTCATTTCTTCTAAAGAATCTGGCATGGCCACTGCCAGGGTACTGGACTAGATGGAGCACTGTTATGATGCAGTATGGCCATTCTTATGTTCTTATATTCTAAGTGCCTAAGCACCAAGGTTTTATATTTTTGGATTTCATCTATGGACACAGTAAAATCTTCTACTGATAACAGAAATATCCCTTCTGAATATTTCAGTATTATTGCTTTGTGGTGAAAAAACTTTAGTTACCACTTTGCTCTAGATCGTCTGCTACTTTTATTTTAGGAAATATTTTTCCTTCCTCAGCTTCTATAGCAGAGAAATTGGGCTTTAATAAATATGTAGTTTCCTGGAATAAATATTGAAACAATAGTGTTTCATCCCTATTTAGATACATAATTTTTATACTTTATTTAAATCTTATATATTTCCTTGCATCCTCTTCCTTTGAAATATCTTCTAACATCTTCTAATATCTTCTATTTACTACACAATTCAAGCTGGTTTTCTTATACTACTGTTGCTTTACTGAGCATAGCTTTCAGTGTTTTTACTTATTGCTCTACTCGTGTAGATTGAGTAATTACGACCACTATCAAGGTTATGTTGTCTGTTACTCTTTGTAGTGCCATGAAAACTTGACATCAGAATGCCAGTCCTACTCTAAATATTACAAAGCCCCATTTGAGAATATATTAGAAACAGACTTCTTAATTTATCTCTTCACCAAAGTTTCATGAGGGAGCCTATACTCAAGGTTAAAACACAAGTAAGCCTGCTGTGCTTTTCCTGTGGCATAAAATTGATTCCAAGTACTGCTGGCTCACTTGACATGATATTTTTCATCCTCTTAGATTGGGCAGTTCAGTTAATCCACAGGAGGTTTTTTTTGTGACCGAAGATACACCTGTGTTTCCAGCAGGCCAGAGCAGGATTTACAAGCCAGTTCAAGGAACAAGGGAGAGGAGCAAGAATGGGGAAGAAACCTAACACGGTAATAGTTAAATTCTCTCATTCCCCTCAAGTAAGGGTACACATTAGATACATATAGTGAAGTGAGCCAGAGGAATGTATGCAGAATAGAGCCTCCTATAGACACATTCTTCTGTTAGATAATTAACAATTTAAGAATAATATAGATGCCTCCTCTGTTTCACATTCTATGCTTCAGCTGAAGAAATATAATCAAATGTTTTGTTCTCTCAGAGGACGTGACACTGAATTGTTCTCAGTAGAGATTATTTGTTCCATCTTGATTTGCCAGATCCCATTTTCACTGAGTCCAGTTTTTGGATTTTTTTTTTTTACATATACATTAACAAGCCATTGAAAAAAGGCATTGGCATTCAAACTCAGAACAGTGTTTCAAAACTCAGCCTTCCTCCCCAGTAAGCTAGAAAAACAATTCCATGTATGATGTAACATTTATATTACTGTTGAACACCCAGAGCTCAATCAGATTTGGGTCACTGGCTAGGTTTTGAACACAGACAATGGCATTCCAAGTGTCTGCTCTGAAGAATTTAAGTATGAGATTTTAGACATGAGCAGATCAAAATATTAGCAAAACCTCTTTCCTCCAGTTCCTGACCCCATTTCTGAACCACGTTAAGACAAATTTCATCTTTCCACACAACGGAAAGTGATTGGAATACATGAATTGAAGCCAAAAGCCAAAAGCAATCCAAGCCTATGTAACTATGTCAACACCAACCTAAAGAAGAACAAAGTCACTGAAAAAATGGAGGCCTTTCCTGTTTGCTAAACCTTTCTGCTAAATTAGGGGTGGGAAACCAACAGCCCACAGGCCGGATTGGGCCCAGATTCATGACTTACTTGATTCTGGCCCATGGCAAGATTCAGGGGACAAATTGTACTCAGCTCTATCCCTGCAGCAAGTCTCGGAGCATGATCTCCAGCATACACCACTGTCAGGGGAAGCCTCAAGCTCATTGGGAACCAGGTCAGTGAGTTTTGTTTTGGTTTTCAGAGTGGGGATTGCACTTGTTGGTAACCAGGTCAGTGAGTTCTCACTTGTGTATAGCCGCTGACTGACTTTTCTGTGGGTCAGAGGCCCCAACGGAACAAAAGTTCCCCACCCCTGAGCTAAACAGTAAGCTAGAAGTGAGTGTTATATCTCTGATCATATCCAGCATAAACCAGTGGTGTCAGACACACCAGCAACGACTACCATCCCTTCTGACAGTTCTGCATCCCTTGGCTGCATGGTCACAGTACCACTAAGAGTAATTCTTTTTTCCCTAGAGCTCTAAGGGAAACTGAAAGACATTATCTTCTCCCATTGGAGAGCTGATACACTGATACAGTTAATATTGGTTTTGATCCAGTTAACTAAACACTTAAAAAGACAAATCTTCTGTACAGGCAGTCCCCGGGTTACGTACAAGATAGGGACTGTAGGTTTGTTCTTAAGTTGAATCTGTATGTTAGTTGGAACTGGCGTCCAGATTCAGCCACTGCTGAAACTGACCAGAGGCTGACTACAGAAAGCCAGAGGCAGAGTTGCTCTGCCCCGGACTTCCTGGAATCAGCCACTGATCAGTTTCAACAGGCTGAATCTGGACGCCAGTTCCGACTTACATGCAGATTCAACTTAAGAACCCCAGGCGTCCCCAAGTCAGCTGCTGCTGAAACTGGTCAGCGGCTGATTCCAGAAAGCCCGGGGCAGAGCAACTCTGCCTCGGGCTTCCTGTAGTCAGCGCTGGTCAGTTTTCAGCAGTGGCTGACTTGGGGGCGGCTGGGGGACGGCAG